AAGCCCTTCTTTGATGTCGAAGAGTCGTTCGGATAGTCGTCTCCATTGTCTGATTTCAAGGGCAAAGGTGTGTAGAGCCTGTCCTGCTGTATAGAGGCCAGAGATAACGCCAAGAACTTCAGCCATGGCTCGTCCAGCTGGAGTGTTGGGTCGAGTTGAAAATGCGGTTGAGATGTATCTTCTATGACGCTAAGGAGCAGTAAACTCGCGTGCGGCACAGTCGGGAAAACTTTGAGTCGTGTAACCGCAATAGCTACGGAGCGCAGGAACTGTATGGTGCAATTTCGTGTAAGATGTAGTGCGAGTCCAGGATATCAGCGCGGTCGGATGGGGGCTGGGCCATCTTTTAGAGGCGGCAGCCTGAAGTATTTTCGACATTAAATGGGCGGCCTCATGACCCACGAACTATTGCGGCTGAACAGATGCGAACATCAGCTCACCGGCATTGGTGTGGGGTATTGAGGTGACATTGGTCGGAATTGGCTCCATGCATAGCGGCACAGGGATGACGTTACCGTTTGGTGGTGCTCAGCCCCCAACGGCCCCCAAAGGCGTCTGAAGTCAGCTGCCTGATCAGGCAATTGGGTCGCACTGTTCATATGAGCGTGGCATTCCTACATCTTTTCATTTCTGTTGAGTTCTCGACCCCACTGACAAATTTCTCTTGACACTGGGCGCAGTACCAGACAGAACGTTCCATGCATACCACAGAGCAGGTTTCTTCGTTATACACACATGCCTGCCTTTGTTCGTACCACGTAAAAAGCTTTTGATCATCTCCGTTCCTCCATTAGTTGCGACTCCGTGCGATGGCGACCATTTCAACCGACTTCCTAGAAGTCGACGAACGTCATCGGAATCCCAGTCATACTCGATCGCGCTCAGGAGGCTACGTCGATACCATAGAAGAAAAGGCGAGATGGGATCGAAGGAGTCGCGAACAAGAAATGAAACGCTATCATGACAGTCGGCATGGTACAGCCTCATCTCCACGAATTTCTAACTCTCCTACAACGCCTGACCGACTCGGCGTCCCCGTCTTCGAAACTACTGGGAGGATGCGATCGAGTTCAGAAGCTGGTCAAAGGGACAGAAGGTCAGAACGACGGTACAACACTCAGGAGGTCCGGCCCAGCGCGATACCAGTTTCCGGCTACGACTTGACCAACGAGCCAGTCCTGCCAAGTCAACTACCTGTAAGGTACGAAGGCAAGCCGCAGCACCAGAAGAAACCAAGCATCAAAGTGGAAATCCACCAAGACAATCCTCCATTGCCCACAAGCGATCTGGCTTTTAGGGTGAAGCGAAGCCCGAGCGCTAGCCCAAGATCACCCACTGCACGGCCGGAACTTCAGTACCAATATGCGACGCTACAAAACAAACTGGACCAGATCAGTAGCACGTGTGCTCCATACATGGATGTTGAGGCTGCGGAACCTCAAGATCTCACGTTCGACAAGATAGTAGAACACACTAAAGCTTTTGCTTTCGATCTGCAAGTGTGGGCTCATCTTTCAAACCTCGAGGGTATGGCTACGGTGGATAAGCATAAGAGAGAAGTCGTGGACGCCGCATCGCGAAGCCTAGACCGACTGTTGTATCTGGTGGCAGAATTACACGACGCTTGCTTCAAGGCCAAGCCGAAGGATCTGAAGTTCAAAAAGCTTCCTGAGATCGACGACGAGACGTTATTCGAGGACGGAGATGACGACAGGTATGTGCTCTCGAGACGTCGACGGAAACTTCTCTGACTTAGAATATCAGCGGTGAACCAGACCCTACAGAAACCTTAAGCTTCATCATTCATTCAAGCCTAGACGGAATCGAGCTGCAAATCCAGAATCTGAAGAGATTGAGTCGAACATTGCAAGAGGTCACACCGGATGCAAAAGATGAGGTCGTGGCAGTCGCGAAGCTCGTAACGGAGACCGTGAAGTACTTCGGCTCGGAAGAGGCACTGCATCGCTATGGGATTAATGAGAAGATCTCTGGGAGGAGAGGTTTGGAAGAAGCAAGGTACACGAATTCGCATTAGCCGGGTGAAGTTCAGGAGTGTGATAAAGATGATGGAAGCCAAGTAGCGTTTCGTACAGGCTGATAATGAAATCGAGGTACATTTTGACGCGTCTCGTTAACGCGTCAAGTTGGTGATAAGGGATGGAAACGCGCACGCGTTGGTGTGGCTGCCGCCGCGAGCCGCCCTAGCGTCGGCTCCACGACTGGAAGCTTGGGGGCATGACGTAGCGCATCAACATCTAGACCAGTGTGCCAATGCAACCAAGGCAACTTGATTTGATGCGGAAAATGTTCTTAAGGTTCTTTCCAATTCTAGTTGCGCTGGTTAACGTGCGAAAGAGATCTCAGTCATGCTGGGATTCAATCTTGCGACATGCCGCTTATCCGCCCAGTTCTACGAGACCCGGCTCCACCGCTGACAGCGGAAACCATGAGCACGGTCTCGTATGGCCAAACACCCACGAATCCGACACCGCGTCGTCACTGCATCAAATCAAATAAACATTTATTCGTGGGAGTACTCGTCGCACATACAGTTTCAAAATAAGAGTATATTGTGGTCTTCTAAAGATGCAAAAGAGAACAGGATATTTACAGCGCAGCAAAAGGAATGACTGCGAAGCTCTGACGACATGCCAGAACCGAGAATGAAATGTGTGTCACCCCAGATGAGAAAGGCTCAAGCCATCACCACAAAAGGCTACAACTACCATCTACGAGCACTTGGTAACGCTGGGTACGTTGGAGCACTTGTCGTAGGTCTTGCCGCCAGTTACGGAAACATCTGTCCAGGTCCAGCCAGTGCAGGAGCCCTTTCCGCAGGTAACGACCACGTCGTAGCCACTGCTGGAGACATCACCAGTGACGTTGTCGAGCGTCAAACCGGTAATGGGAACGCCAGTGTCAGCGTCACCGTGGAGGTCACCACCGTCGTAGTTCTGTTCAATGAGGACGCCATACTTGGAGATCTCAGACAGGGTAATGTCTTCGTAGGTGACCTTGTTGATCTTGCCGGTCGTGCCAGCGCGAGCCTTAACGCGGACGCCGTTGACGGACTTGGTGATCTCGGAGTTCGAGAAGGTAACCGTATCGACCGTGTTGTCGTCACGACCACCGACAGAGCCGATGGAGAGACCGTGTCCACCAGAGCAGAGACCGTTCTTGAAGGTGATATCCTATCCGTATTGTTAGCGGGTGTCTTCATTTCAATGCCCAGGGGATACATACGGTACCAGAGTTCACGGCAACACAATCATCCTGGTTGTAGACCTTTGCACCGTCGATGATGACGTTGCTGCTCGAGCCAATGTCGAAACCATCCGTGTTGTGACCTTGCTCGTCCTTGTCGCCTTCCGAGGCATCGATGGTCATGTCGGTAATGGTGAGACCGTCACATCCGTTGATACTGACTACTTGAACAGGAGGGTTCTTGATGGTAATGCCAGTGATGGAGGAGTCGGTGAGCTTGTGTGCGGAGAAGAACTTGGGCTTCGTCTTTCCGCCGTTACCACCCTCACCGTCCCACCAGCGAGCGCCGTCACCATCGAGGACGGATCCCTCGGCACCCTTGACAGTGATTTTGGTTCCACGAATGTCAAGGAGAGGTCTGAGATTTGGTTCATGAAGTCAGTGCGTGTCTCATACATTTGTACTTGGATATTGCTTACCCTTTCCACTCTTTGTAGCCCCAGGTTGTGGTACCCTCGAAGATGACGGTGGTATCGTCAGCCAAGCTGGAAAGGTCCAGAGTAGTGCCTGAAGGAACAGCAACGTCCGAGAGGACCATGGTGGCACATGATGACTGCGACTTAGAAGCCTCAGCAGCTCCGTTCGAGCCCGAAAAGGTGCAGCTGGAGGCACGTTTCACGACTTCGGGCTTGGGTGCAGGAGTGATGGCCGGGGCTGGGGCTGCCACAGCGGACGCCGCCAGCGACGTGAAGAAGATACCAAGAGTCAAGGCGACCATTGTGAAAGATGATTGATTTGAAGAAAGGCTTAAAAGAGCGAGTGAAGTGCTTGGTTGCTTGGCCTACATGCTTGGTACGCCACACATATATACGAATTCCTAGTAATGATACACACGAGTGAATGACTTAGCCACCAACCAATTACTGATACATCGAATCTACACTTGACGGGATCATAATTTCCCGATTCAAGATTCTCCATACTAACAGATGAGGGATTGTTTCGAGATCCTCCACCAAGTGGGGAGAAAGAGGAAGAGATGAGAGGGACTTGTTCGCTCGAAGCAACGCTTGTTCAGTGCGTGGGTGTGGTCAGGGGATATTTGTTTCGGAAAATCCTCCAATGAATGGGACCCGCCCGATTTCCACTTTTCCAAGCCTGTCGTTCGAAGGTACCCTCGTGAACATGTCAATGCATAGCCAGAGTTGCGTGACAAGCCTCGGAAAGAACGGAAACTAAAAGGCTTGACTCTGCTCCAGCCCACTTCGGCGCAGTGGTGTGGGAAAGCTCTCTTCCATCGTGTGAAGTAGCGTGCCGGAAATGGCTAGTACGTCCACCAGCCATAGATTGGGAATCTGCGTTATTCCCAGCCACCTCACGATGTCTCCTGACAACACCTATGGGCGTTTACTAAACACCAGCAAAGGATGCAAAGTACATGTCATGTTCCTCCATGACGTGCATATACTTCCTCCCTTCCCGTTGTGGTAACCTTCCCGCTGGCGCAAGCTTCCTTCACGCGCCCTCGGCATCTCGGGCAAATGACGTTCCACCCGCCTCCGCAAACGCCACACATCTGGGGTCGCTAGTACCTTGCATATTACCCCGCTGAGCATTTCTTCCATGGCAAACATTATACCGTCAATGAGATCGTTCCGCGACGCGCAGGTCCGGATGGCGATCTTTGGCCGCGGCTGAAGTCCACGGGCTAGTTGCACGCGAGATCGAGAGCTATGTCGTAGAGCAAAAGTCGCGTCGCGTCTCATTGACTTTTCTTCATCACCGAGGAAGTCAAGATGCGGTTCTTTCATCTGTTTGCTGTCGCGATCTCGCTGTTCTTTGGTGTATTGGCGACCGATAATGGCCTGCAAACGGATGTGGAGTGGGATAATGGGTCGCTCATGGTTAATGGCGAGCGCGTCATGATCATGAGTGGAGAATTCCGTACGTTGATGATTTGAGATGAATGAAGCGTAAATGAGATGAGTGCTAACCCAACTTTCGCATCTGCCAGACTATGCTCGCCTCCCAGTACCTGAGCTATGGCTCGACGTCTTCCAGAAGTTCAAGGCGAACGGCATGAACGCCGTTTCAATTTACTTCTTCTGGTCGTACCATTCGGCATCGAAAGGCGCATACGACTTCACAACACCGGGGAAAGATATCCAGCGCCTGTTTGATATGGCCAATGAAGCCGGACTTTACGTCATCGCACGACCAGGTCCATACTGTAACGCGGAGACAAATGGAGGTGGCTTCGCTCTGTGGACCAGCGACGGAAGTGGTGGCAAGTACAGAACTTCGGATGAGACATATAGACAAGCGTGGTCGGAATGGATAGCGGAAGTAGGCGAGATCATCGCAAAGAACCAGATCACCAACGGCGGACCTGTCATCCTAGCGCAAGTCGAAAACGAACTGCAACAAACCCGTTACGAAGCCAACAACACACTGGTCATCTACATGGAACAGTTGAAGTCCGCCTTTAAAGACGCAGGCATCGTCGTACCCTTGTCACACAACGAAAAGGGCTTCAGGTCGAAGAGTTGGTCCACTGACTACAACAATGTTGGCGGCGCGATCAACGTTTACGGTCTGGATAGTTACCCTGGCGGCATGAGCTGCACAAACCTCGACACTGGATTCAACCTACCCAGGACTTACTACCAGTGGTTTCAGGAGGTCTCACCTACTCAGCCAGAGTATCTGCCCGAATTCGAAGGTGGATGGTTTCAGCCATGGGGTGGCTACTTCTTCGACCAGTGTTTGGCTGAGCAGAGCCCGGAGTTTGCAGATGTATTCTACAAGGGCTTGATCGGACAGCGAGCTAGCCTTCTGAACTTGTACATGGCATACGGCGGCACGAACTGGGGCCATTCTGCAGCTCCTGTTGTGTACACTAGCTACGACTACGACGCGCCGCTACGCGAGACACGAGAAGTACGCGACAAGTTCAAGCAGTACAAACTCCTTGCACTATTCACCCGTGTCAGCAAGGGCCTTCACAACACGTTTATGGAGAACAACGGCACCGCAAACGCGGTCGACAACTCCGCAATCTGGACTTGGCAGCTCAAAAGCCGCGATACGGAGGGGAGATTCTACCTTGCCGAGAACAACAACACTCGTACCCGCGCTGTTACCGATTTCTCGATAACGATCAAGACATCGGAGGGCGATGTCGAGATCCCGAGCATGCAGCTTGCGGGCCGTCAGAGTCGATGGGTAGTCACGGACTACGCTGTGGGTGACGAAACGCTGCTCTACTCGTCAGCCGAGATTGCTACCTATGGCCTGTTTGATCGGCCCGTCCTCGTACTCTACACCCGCGAAGGCCAGACAGGAGAGTTCGCATTCAAATCACAGGGTAACGTAACGTTCAAGGCATACGGTGCGGAGTCAGACCTTGCGAGTAAGCCGGCCAATGGCACCTACTCAAGCTTCTCGTACACCCAAAGCAAGGGTGCGACAGTCGTTGAGTTCTCCAACGGCGTTCTTGCTTATATGCTTGATATACCGACTGCATGGACCTTCTTTGCGCCATCAACGACAGATGACCCCAACGTCACACCCGACCACCAGATCTTCGTGCTCGGGCCATATCTCGTCCGCTCTGCCAGTGCATCAGGCGGCACAGTTTCCGTTGTTGGCGACAATGCAAATGCGACGACTATCGAGGTATACGCCGGTTCTGATGCGGAAACGATATCCTGGAATGGAAAGGAGCTCGCTACAACGAAGACCCCCTATGGTTCTCTTACTGCTGAGATCGAAGGAACTGCTGACCGCAAGATTACTCTTCCAGAGCTCTCAGACTTTAAGGCTGCTGGATCTTCGCCTGAGATACAACCTTCGTACGACGACAGCAGCTGGGTCGTCGCCAACAAGAACACCACTCTGAGCCCAGTCAAACCACTCACTCTCCCTGTACTCTTCAGCAGTGACTACAAGTACTACACTGGCGCCAAGATCTACCGCGGATACTTCTCCGACAAACCCGCATCATCACTCAACATCACAGTCCAAGGTGGTATAGCGGCTGGATGGGGGGCTTGGCTTAACGGTCAATCGATTGGTTACCATCCCGGTAACGCGTCGCTTACTTCAACAACAGCCTTGCTGTCATTCAAGAACGTTACATTGAAGGACGAAGGAAATGTCTTGACAGTGATAACCGACTACACTGGTCACGACCAGACCTCCACAGGCCCCGCAGGCGCCGAAAACCCTCGCGGTATACTAGGTGCCCAACTCCTCGGTGGAAACAACACGAACATCTCGTTCGACCAATGGAAGATCCAAGGTAACGCAGGTGGAGAGCGCAATATCGACCCAGTCAGAGGACCTATGAACGAAGGCGGCCTATACGGCGAACGCCTCGGCTGGCACCTCCCCGGCTTTGACACATCTTCCTGGGAAGATGCCAGTCCCACCGCCGACGGTATCCAAGGCGCCGGCATTCGTTGGTTCACCACCACTTTCTCTCTCTCCGTCGATTCCGATCTCGATGTCCCAATTGGCATTGAACTCGGCGCTCCAAAAGGTACCATCGCACGCATGCTCCTCTTCGTCAACGGATACCAGTACGGCAAATACGTTCCCCACATCGGACCTCAGACTCGCTATCCCATTCCTCCGGGTATTCTGAACATGAGGGGGGAGAATGTATTGAGTGTCACGTGATCATGGAAGGAAGGTGTACTTAGGGTCTCCTTCCACCTAGATAGCTCCTTAGCAAATACACACTTTATATAAATATACCTATACACCTAATAGCTAGTAGCTACTTATTATAATAATTCTACTATCTTTGTTATCTCTCTACAAGACCTTTAAACCTAGTATTACGCCTGCCTTCTACGCCTACAACATATAATAATAACTACTTCTAAGCCTTACGCTAGAGTTTATTACCTATATAATATCTCTATAGTAATAGTAGACTTAGGTTAAGCAACATAAGAATTACGTAATACTCTAGTATTAGCTATATAACGTAGTGCACCTAAATACCTTATTACTTCTAGCTAGCGAATAAGCGTTCTCTAACGCTAACTACTATACTAGAGTTAATCTAGCTTACGCACTACCTTAATAACTATACTAGAGAAACACTAATTCTAAACAAGCTTCTAAAGAATACCTAACGCTCTAAGCGTAATATATTAGAATTATTATAGTTTAGATTTTCTACACCTAACCTTACCTTTCTAATAAATTATAAATAATAACCTTTATTACTACCTAAGTTAGGCCTAAATTCTCTAAACGCTACACTCTTAATTGCCTAAACTACTATTTTAGCAAGTAGCCTCTCTAGAAAGGTAATTACTAGTAACTTTAACCTTTCTCTAAACGCTAGCCTAGCACTTATATATTACTACTAGTAGAAGGCACCTCTATTATGTATACTACTAGTATAAAAGCTTTTCTTCTACTTTCTTACTAGCTATTCTTCTTTATAATATACTTTTAATTAATAGTACTACTTTAATTTTATATAATACACTATACTATATATAGTTTTCTCTAGATATCTTAGTCTACTAATTATCTACCTATAATATCTTTCTTCTCTACTTACCTCTTCTAAGGTACTTCTACTACACTAACATATAGAACTAATAACGCTCTTATAAGTAGTAACTAGACTACACTTAACCTTAACTAGCCTAGTTCTATTAGACTACTAGCTCTTAGTAAAGACGCTGTTATTTACGTATATAACCTAGTTACTTACTTAAATAGCTATCTCTTCTACTTTATTATTACTACTAAAGTTTTGTAAGTTATACGTAGTATTATTAAAACCTTTAAAGTACCTACTCTATTTTGTAACTAACACTAAGTAAACGTAGTACTACCTAAAAAAAGTATCTAGTTTATCTCTAGTCTATAATATGCCTCTTTTAAAGCAAATAGTAAACTAGACTACCTTTCTACCTAGTTAGCTTACTCTAAAGAATAAAAGAAGGCTAACTATAACTTTACTAAAAAAGTCTCTACTTTTAAAGATATTACTAATACCTACTCTTAGAGCTAGTTATACACTAATTAGATCTCTACCTATATACTACCTACACTTATAGTCTCTAATAGACTATCTAACTAGTAGCCTCTATAAGTAGATACTTATTACAAAACGCCTTCTATTATTTCTAACGCTTATAGTAATACTTTACTAACTATTAAGCTATACTAGCTATATAACTAAGATATATAAGATTAGAGAGTAGCCTAGAAAAACGCGCCTTAGCTATCTACTTACGCACCTTTATAGCGCGCCTTCTAACTAACCTTATAAGTAGAAAGTTATACCTATTTATAAGTAACTAGCTACGCCTCTTTATACCTCTTAGTACGTATCTCTACTTAAGATTATTAACGCTAGTATAGCTAAGCTATATTAAACGCTTCTACTATAATTAAATACTACTCTACTAGTCTAGAATAGAACGTGCCTATATAACTACTAGTAAAGAAGGTTTATAAGCAGAGTAATAAGAAAAAGAATTTCTAGTAAAACTCTAAGCTTATACTATTAGACTATAAATAGCTATATAAGAATAATATTAAGATAGCGTAAGTTTCTTAAGATAACTATAATAGGTAATACTACTCTAACACTCTCTATCTCTAGCGCACAGAACCTTAGAAAAACCTAGTATTATCTACTAGCTTTATTATTAACCTACTTAACTAATAGTAGTCTAGCGCCTCTATACTAATAGGCTCTAATATAATATCTTTTAGGTAGCCTTAACTTTAGAGATAATAGCTAAGTTCTTACTAGGCTTTACAACACTACCTCTCTTATTACGTAAATAACTCTCTTAAAGACGTCTATATATACGCACTAGCTCTAGTTCTAAACTTTATAAGTTACTAGAATATATATACTACACTACTCTATTTAAGGTATAAGAACTTCTTAGTTACTAGAAGCGCTGCTACTATTAGCTCTCTCTACTAGCAATAAGAATCTATTAGCTAGATTAAGATTTAAGATATATTTACTAACTTTAAATAATATATAGTAGCTATACTTAGTTAATACGTATAACTCTAGTAGCTCTAGTAACTCTATAAACTCTAATATTACCTAGCTAAAGTGCATATTAATAATAACATCTCTACCTCTAGACTATATATAAGTAGAGAAAATAGCCTAGCGCTTTTATTCTACTTCTAGTAGTATAGAAGCGCTATCTATACTATTAAAGTTAGCCCTCTCTTCTAATATTACCTTCTATCTTAGTAGACCTAGAACCTTACTATATAAGCTAGTAAGAGATAGTATACTAATAATACTCTATTTCTATAAGTAAGTTAGTAGTAGTTTAGACTACGTACCTATTCTAGATATAGTATAAGTTAGTAAGCTCTTACGCTATAGAAAGCTAAGATAGCTAATAATAACACTATTATTAAAGCTATAGGCAGGTTTTTAAAGTTTTAGATAGATATAATTAGTTTCTTTTAGCTAGACATAAAATAAAATAACTACTTAGAGAATATTACTAATATAGCTAGTAAGACGCACTACTACTACGTATATAACTTTCTTAACGCTATAAAAACTATAATTACCTCTAGAATAATGCCTAAGTATATAGTTTAAAATAACCTATACTAGTGCTTTAAAGGTAATGCTTAACTCTAGTATTAATCTAACCTTAGTATAGATTACTACCTTAAGGTAATTAGTAGAGAAGGTATTAACTACTAGAAAGAGAAACTTAGTTTCTTTTGTATATAACCTACTAAAGTAATAAGTAAGTTATAGAAGTAAATATATACTATAAAGAATATAGTAGTAGGCTACTTACTAGTAAAATAGTACCTTAAAGTAAAGCAGCTATACTAGAATACTAGATATAGCTACTATAATAAGAACTAGTACGTTATCTACGCTTAGAACTTACTTAACTTTTACATCTACGCTTTTCTTTTATAACTAACTACAACTACGTTCTTAGATAAGTTTCTTACTATAATAGAGAAATAAAAATATACACTTATTAATATTTTTAAGACTAAACTCTCTTCTAGTAAGTATAACTCTTAGCGCTTTAATAGTAGGTTAGATAACTAAGGTAGTAATAACTCTATAAACGCAAATTATAGTTACTATAAACGCTTATATAGTAGTTACCTACTAAGAAACTCTAACTACTAGAGTAGTAATTATAGCTGTAGTAATCTTAATACGTAATAGTTAAACGCTAATAGAAGTAATAGCTACTCTAATAGTAATAACTAAGTAAACGCGTCTGCATTGCAGCTATAGCAAAATAACTCTTTCTACTCTAGTAACTAATATAATAACTAAGAGAGTTTTAACTATAATCTACTATTAAGAAACTAATAGGCTAGTAATAGAACTTAGTTATATAGTAGAATGTAGAGAGCTTATTATAACTATCTATTTACTAATAATAAACCTAGCTTTATAATTAAGAATAATATACTAACTAACTATACTTCTAATTTCTATAAATAGTCTATAATTCTATTATATTCTAATACTAAAGAATTACTCTTTTATTCTTATAATAATCTTAAGTATAAGAATAGTAATAATTTTAATTCTAACGTATAGGCTAGCTAGAATAAGAACTATAAACCTTCTAAATAACTCTCTTAACTAATTAAAGCCTTTAAGAAAGAAGATAAGAATAAAGAGAAAGGTAGAACATCTTTTATTAGAATAGTTACCTAAGGTATATTAAGAAAGCTACGTTAAGAGTTATACTAGATTTATTACTATAACTATAAGAAGCGTTTCTCTTCTAATAACTAGCTTTATAAGTATATTAGAGTATGTTACGTCTACGCTTCTATCTATATAATAGTTGTGCTTAACTCTAATAAAGTTAATAACCTAAAGGCTAAAGCCTAGTTAAGCTACTAGCTAGATAAGGCTACTATTACAAAGTCTATACGCATTATTAAGTTAACTGCGCCTCTACTAGTTAATAGAATAATATTTATAAGAAATTAGTATAAGCTTAAACTTACTATTAAAGTAGTAAGAGACAGAATAAACCTTATAATTTACTCTAATACTAGAGCTATAATTACTTTTATAGATAAGAACTTTATATAAGATAACTTTCTAAGCGTAAAGTAGAAAAGCCTAGAAAAGCTAGTCTAATATATAGGTACTAGACTAGAAAGCTTTATAATATGTTAGATTGCATACATTACTCTCTACGTACTATTAATAACTAACTCTAGTAAACGCGTCTTCTTACTCTAGAGAATCTATACTTATATTATACCTTAGCTTAGCTCTAATATTCTTTTAAAAATAGACACTCTTATTTTATAAGAAGTTATTATTAATATTAGTAGTAGAATAATAAGGTAGCTACTTTGCAAGAGAGTAGTAGCTCTAATTATAGTTAAATCTAAGAATAGCGCTATTTATAAGTTACGTAAGCTTACGTTATATAGCATAGTAGTTATTCTTCTAAACTTAGTAATAAAAGTAAAAGTTACCTCTTTATAGCTATTATTACCTAATTTTAACTATATTCTCTAAGTTAATAAAGAGCTTCTCTATCTAGCTAGGCTATACGTAATACTTCTAAACGCTTAAAATATAGAAGCTATTATACGCAATAATATAAGAAATCTAGTTAAGGTTTAGTAGTACGCCTCTTTTAGTTTAGCTATTC